AAAATGTAGAAATTAATGTGTGAATTTTCCGAAAATAACCGTAAGTATGTAGGCAATGAATCTACCATAATGCGCGTCAAAACCCAGCAAAATTCAAAATAAATCCGATCAAAGGGTTTTGTTGAGGATTAACTACATACCGAGGAATATCAAGGCAAACAATTTTAGGGGGAAAAGCATTTGAACTTACTTAATCTTACTTCACTTCGGGCAACAAGAAAAAAAATAATGATTGTGAAAGGAATGGATGGTTTGTTTTGCCCTTCCTGAACGAAATGCCATTTTTTTGTAGAGGGGAATGACCGTAATAAAGCGGAGCTAGATTGGGGTGTCTGGCCCAAATTTAAAGGAGGAAAAAGTTCTGGGGTGGATGAACCAAGCTCCGGGGTGAGTGAACCACTTCAACTAAGTGTTCACTGTTTTGCCCAAGGAGTTCTTCTAGCTCTCCCTCCCCCCTCCTCCATAAGGGAATTAGCACCGTTATTAGTAGTTCAGCTCACGTTCGACGGCCAAATTTGTCCCATTTTTCTGAATTTGCTGAATGCGGCGAGAATTCGTGGTCGTTGCTCAATTTTTACATGATTTAAAAACTGCCCTCTCCCTTCTAAGACGAGAGGTCTAGTTTAAGAAGCTACCACGGTCAGTTTTATGAAGAGGGCTCCATAGTTTTTCTCATGAATCAATCAATACCCATACTTTCTGGGTTTCCCTTTATCTATAGGAAAATTGCGGTCTATTTGCTGGATGTGAACGTGTTTCTGGGAACTCGGTCGGCCTTCTTCAGCTGTTTACGTGCTCTTGGTGGGTGCGTGACAGTTTGGAACTTTATGGCTCATAAATTGGTAAATAAGTGACAAATAGAGAAAGAAAACGATCATTGACGAACAAATAATCACAGAGTTAAGCGCATTAGTCCTTTGAAGGACTAAATGTTCGTTGTGAAGGAAAAGTACAAAAATTCCTCAAAAACTCGCTCACCTGCTGGTTTTCCGATTTCGTTGATTCGGTAAATTCAAATCAGGCAAGCTGTTGGCGAGTGGACTTCGTGAATAACTGGCGTCAATGTACGGATACGGTATCTCGGGACTAGATGGTGGTGATTCTTCCTTAATGGGAAGTGGTGGTGGCTGTGGGTGTTGTACCTGTGCCGGAGCCACCGTTGGCTGTGGTGGAGCAGAATAATAGCTGGGAATAACAGTGGATGTAGTCGGTTGTACTGAAC